CGTTGGGGTGAACCAATTGGATGAAAAGCTTCAGTGCTTCATGGGGCTTCATCTGCCCATCACTAGTGAAACCCTCAAACCTTATTATGATGAACGGTAGCATGAGGTCCTGTCGCTTATTCCTTAGGCTTCAGTCGCTAGCATGAAAATTGATAGCAAAGCGGTATAAATGGCTGCACCAAAAGACTTTTTATGATTGCTTTGGTTCCTATAGTTGCATGGAAGATGATCTGTAAAGAAATGTCATGAAATGGCTGTGTGCAGACAGGAAAAGGACCCAAAGTGCAGACTCCAGAGACAGAAAGTAACTAACTCAGATTGATTGCTAAATCTCCAAAAAGTAACAAAACTGAGACTCCAAGGTGACCTTACACCAACAGCCCACACCACTAGATAAGAGTCAATCACAACACACACAGGGCTTAAATACACAGAGGGAGCAATCAGGGAATGGTTAACAGGAGGTAAACACAGCTGGGCAAAATCAGGCCTAACGAGACAAAGGAAGCAAAACCAGACCCATTTACATGAGACATGGACTTTCAAAGTAAAACAGGAACCATAACACAGAGATGCGAACTTGACAAGCGGATACAGCTGACAGGGGAGACAGAGCAACTAGAGAACACAGAGACATAAACCATAAGACAGAACTCTAACAAAGAAACCAAAGACTAGAAATGATAAATAATATAATAAACTCAAAATAAACTCAAAATCCTAACAAGAAATCTGGAAAACAGATGTTTGCCTTCAAAATAAAAGTTTCATCTTTTGAAATGTGTTGATTGGAGCGGAAAGGCCAACAAGCCAACCAGTTGGAGACGCATTTCATTACTAGCAACTAGAAGTTAACCGACTGGTATTTAGGCGTGCATGACCGGGACCTTACATGCATGAAATTCCGGTGTCTCTCATTCTCTTTCACTCAAAAACCTTACATGAAATGAAGCATGCAAACACTTAAGGTGGAGATATTTAAAGTTTAAGGGTACTTGTTTGTGTCACAGAAGACAGTGTGGCAAGGCAGCCGAATCATCCTTCAGTTGCAAAGCCCTTGTTTCATGCAGCAAACATCTCCAGGACCACTATTTGATTCAATATTAATATGCACTCAGCATGAAGACCGGTCAGAGATCTCTAATTGCCACAACAGCTTCAGCCATAATGCCCCACTGGGAGCTACACTTAACACTGTTCTCAGCCATCAAAATCCATCAAACTGCAGGAATCAGAGATCAAAGATGAGTGCAGTAACAATAAAAACACTGCAAACTCACCAACTCGAAATACTTCATCAGTAGTCCCATAGTCAGACATTGTCAAGAGCCTCTTGAAAAATGTCTCCAATGTTTAAGAGACCAGTCCCATTGGGATAGAGTAACTATTTAAAAAAATATCTTCACAGTTTTCTTAGTAAAAGCAAATATGTCATACTGATGGAGTTTCAATTTTTTTTTTGCATTATTGGTAGGTGACTCTTTCTGTATTATTAGCCAGCATGAAACCTGGCTTTTAAATTGCAGCACACAGATTTTAGGCGCAGTTTGTTGGCTGTGTTACATACATAATTTTTTATACGTGCCATTTCCTGACCTTCACATTTCTTTGTGAGACAATTACAACACTGAGCAAATGTCTGCTTTTTAGTAATTACGGATTGAAGCAATTGAGGGCCTTTGTGTTCATCTTAGCAAAAATATCAGTGTCCATAACAGACCACAGCCAGACCATACCTCTTTGTAATTATAGCCCTTAAATGTCAATCAACTTCTGCCATGGAAACACAGCAGATGGTGTTCCTGCAGCTGTGTTCAGAAACTGTTTTGTTCCCTTTAGAAAAAATATCTGATCGCCACAATAATTGTAGTACAGTATTTCATATTTCAGGATGTCAAAGTGTCCACACCAACAGTTTCTACCAATCAACGTAAACAAAGTCCTTTAAAAGTAACAGCTCAAAGGTAAATATGACGAGTGGATACAGAGAAAGGTTATGAATGTCATTACGGCCCCTCTATGGACTTGGCGGTGAACTCATTCAAAGAAGTTCATCGTCATGGTTCTGAAAAGCTCAGATCTGGCCGAAACGTATTATACTCATAACAATAAGGCAATGTGATTCTGGCTACTTGTAATGGTGTAGATAATCAGATAGGCAGTGAACACAATGAGAGGCAGTGGACCTGACAGTATGGAGAGCCTGGATTAGACCTCTCTATGAAAACAGAATTACTCGTGACAGGCACTCGTGGCCTTTCATAGAGACAGCTCACAATAAGGGATAGAAAAAATAATCATTTCTAGTCATTTCTCTTATCAAGCTGCTCTTTTCATTTCCTAAGCTCACTATTGAATTTTCTCACTCAAGCTCAACATGAGGGATGGGGTCTCTTTTCTTTCATATGTGTCATCCGCACACTGGTCTTGCCCAGAGGTTAATAATGAAAGTTAAAAGAGTGTTGCATATTAATGCCAAAATCTATTGAGCCATACGGCAGAGCAATAACTGTTCTTCAGTGTAGACTGCTGTCTTAAAATAATTAATACAGCTGACTTGTTGGCCCATTCCATGCTTTGCCTGAATCACAAATCAGGGAAACTCTCACTTGGATTTATAGACAACCGCAACAGAAAGAAAAACGACATTTTGCAAAACACCTAGCTCGGTGAAAAGAGCTCTACACCTGAAGGAAATCTTTCTGCTGTGGTTTTATTCATTTATTTTTTACCATGTTAACTTTAATTATTTCCAATTAATCCTCATTTACTCAAGCTCAACCTACTATAAATCAAACATAATGTACATTAAAACACTACAGCACATGCACCGTGTTAAATAGAACACTATTTTGTGTCTCATTTAGGGAGCTGTCAAGCACATTACTCATGCAAATTACTGTACATTTTCATGTAGGAGCAAAAACCCACACTAGATCCATTTTTTCCATTTGCATAGTAATGTTCTTCCAATTTGAAGATGGAACACTTGCAATACAGATTTTTTTCAGTTGATAGTCTCAACTTAATGTTGAATAAGGTTTCAGTGATTCCTGGATAATAAGCAATAACTACCTCATTAAGTTGCCTATTATGATGAACAAAATCGAGCGAACAGGGTATCGCTAAAATCTAAAATGAAAACATTTTGACACGTACGTTGGAGACTTTTGTATCTCTTGTCTGTCATTAAGATCAAATACTCAAAATCTGTAAACATGTCTTGGAATTTTCTGTGATGGGGTTCTTGGAGACTGTCCTCACCCACAGAAACTAAAGGATGGTCTATATGACGAATAGTTGAAGTATAACAATTATGGGTGTAATTCAATGTAGAATAAACATCCAAAAATTCTCTATCTTTAATCCGAAAAAGTCAGTGGTCATACACAAGCGTGCAGACAGAAGCAAACAAATTCGAAGGAGGAGCAGGAAAAAGGGAAAGAAACAATCAACAAGTGCAAACAGAAGGAAAGCAACACAATAGAGAAAAGCAAGGAAACAACATGAGGAATTCTAAAATATGACTGCAAGAGTTCATAATTAGTCTTTTGGGGCTATAGGCAGGTGAGCCATCCAACTAACGTTTATCACCAGAGTATTAATTCTGTTCTGTTACATTAATTCGACACAGCTTTAATCACATCACTTAACAATCAAAAAGCAGTACAGTTCAAGTTAACTGATTTCAAATCTAGAAAAAAATGTTAATCTAAAAATGGCAGAGACCATGTTTATTAAAGCCCAAGACCAACTTATGAAATGTTAACACTGTAGTTATGAGCTTCTACAGTCTTTTAGCCTGCTTGCTACACTAGCTACAAGTCAACTGCTGGTGTCCCGGCTCTGTCTCCTGGTCACCTGACTGCTGGACAAACTAGGCAGCTATGTTAGTGTAATCCCTGTTACGCCTGTTGCCTGACACCTGTGGTCTGGCCTTTAAGTAAGAGGCAGAAGACAGTTCTGGATCTCCGGGCTCTTTACTTTCAAACACTGTAATATATAGAAATACAGAAAACCATGAGTTGTGTGTGTTGTATGTCTGCTAGGCTTTCCTCCGGCCACGCTGGAAGGAGCTGTGACTGGGGCACACATGCACACGCCTACGTCATCATGCATTTCACAACCACACAAATACACATAGACTCAAAACACATAGGCAGGAGATTAAAACACAAAATAAACTATTTAATAAAAAATGGGTGTTTTGGTGAAATTTATAAGCATTTAACATATTTGCTACACACTGTAAAACCTGACAAGTTAAGTTAACTCAAATGATTTGGGGAAACCGATTGCACCAATTGATTCAAGTTTTATAACTTAAACAGTTTGGGGTTATTTAAGTACTTTATTAGAGTCCCAAGAACCCAAAGCAAATATGATAATGTAACTCAAATGCATTATGTTTATTTACTCATTGTATTTAGTATGTTTCAACTTAAACCATTAAATTTCTTGTACTAAGATGCTGTATTTATTCAAACTTATTTAAAGTGTTACATGCTCATATTCAAATTAAGTTAAATTAACTTAAATAGTTGTATTTAAACAACTTAATCCAATTGGGGAAACCGATTGCACCAAATGGTTCAAGTACTATTAACGCAAAACCAAGCTATTATTCTTTCCATTCAGTTTTTATTAACTTTAACTGCAGAGAAAATACAGAATGAATACAACCATACTTTCAGTCATAACCTATGACTGCTAAAGCCATTATCAAATAACAAATAATTAGGCATTTTAAAACTTGCACTTTTAGGGAATTTTGAATGTTTTTTGTAGCATTTTGAAAACCGATTAAATGTACAAAACACAAATTTAGTCATGTAGACCTGATACATAGGTGTACATCATAAAAAAACAATAGTCTAGAGGCAATTAGAGCCATAACAATCACAATTTTAAGTAACATTTAGTATAATAATGAAATCACATGCACTACAGCAATGCAACTATAGAAAACAGCTGAACTAAGGATGTCACTAACAAAAGTATTCTCAAAGGTATTTGTGGCTTCGCAACAGTTTTGCCCAGACCTCGAGTGAACTGGCACTCATCACACAATTAAAAAATAAAGCATGAAAGTATACTGTACATATTGACTAATTATCAGTTATCTCGCAAAAGATTTCCATGTAACTAAAATATGTTTTTAGAAATAAGCTTAAGATTACACACTATGTGAAGATTTTTTTCAATCACAAACAAAACGTCAAATATGGATTTTCTCCTTATTCTTAGCTTTCTCCACATTGCCTTTTAGAAAGCTAATTACCCAGAACAAATAAAACTATTGAAGCCATTCACAGATAACTGAAAAAGCACGAATATAGTGACCAGTGAAAAACAAACATCATCTGCACAAGCTCATTTTTTAGTGTCTGCAATTTTGGTTTTAGTTGCTTTCTCTCATCGTCTAGCTTCAGCAACACTACTTGAATGAACTCAAAAAAGCCAGTATACTTCATAGGATAGCTCAGATGCAGAGCATAGATTAGCCCAAACAAAGACACCAGGGCATCAGTCCATGAGTGATGAGTCATAACAAACTGATCTTCAAGGTCTATGAACACTTGGCGTGGTGAGAAAGGAACTCCTCCAGGCACCTCCTCTTCATCGACATCAGCAACCAGAGCAATTCTATGGCTTCATAGAACTCAATTTCACCCTAAGATATAATACAGAGTGCACAATTATTCATCTGTAATATCTCTGTTAAAAGCATAAATACAAATGTTCAGGCACCTTTCTTCAGTTTTTCAAATTCTATATATCATAACATGTTTTAAGTTGACAGTGAAGGTTCATTTTTCATTCATCCAGGTAGTCAAATCAAGGATGAAAGAAGTTTATAAGTCATTCAACTTCACGTCTTCAACTTTCAACCCAAGTCCAGATGACTTATAAACTCCTTTCAACCTTTTTTAAATTCAAATGTGCAAATTATTGTAATACCAAAGTACCTTGCATGTTTTGAAAATCTCTGAGGTACATTGGTAGGCCGGCCAGAACTGCTGTTCTAGTTGCATAGATGTCGTTTGTGTCCATATATATATATATATATACATATATATATATATATATATATATATAATATATATATATATATATATATATATATATATATATATATATATATATATATATATATATATATATATATATATATTAGGGCTGCCACGATTAGTCGACTAGTCACGATTACGTCGACTATCAAAATCGTCGACGACTGATTTAATAGTCGACGCGTCATTTGAAGCTTTGTAAGATCCCAAAAGCAGGAATAAGTAGCAGGATTTAAGAGTGTAATAACGGACTGAAACAGAAGATGGCAGTACTGCATGTACAAGGATGCCAGCTGCCGTTAAACCCTGAAGAAGAAGAAACTGTGTCCCAGAATTCATAGCGCGGCCCAGCAATGGCGGCAGCTAGTTAGTTTTAATATTACTCTTATTATTCTTTCTGGGTCACAAAATAAACGTTTAACATATTTTCAGGCGAGAATGTAGCTGTGTAAACCTCAAATATCTGCTCAGTTTATCAGGACACCACATATTTTCAAAAGCGCTCCGACGTTTTCGGAGGCGTCTGTTACCCACTAGCTCGATAGCTAGCCGGGGGCCATGAGAGCACCGGACTCCCGGCAGATCGTTTTCAAACCCACCGCCCTACTCAGGTTAAACATATACAAGTCACTTAGATAACTTAAAAATGTTATTGTTTGGCTTTTTTCAGTATTTTATTTGTTCCTGAGTAAATCGGCTGAGTTTATTAAACTCCACCGAAACAATCTGCACATTTAATTAGAATTCAATTAACTATCATCTTGTCTTTATTTTTAGTTAGCACAGACCTTAAACACTTAAGCTGTAAGCTAATGATAGTTATATAAGAGCAGATGCTGCTGGTGCAATAAGCTGTACTTTTACGTTCAGTGGATGATGATCTGATTAGTCGACTAATCGCAAAAATAATCGGTGACTAGTCGACTATCAAAATAATCGTTTGTGGCAGCCCTAATATATATATATATATATATATATATATATATATATATATATATATATATATATATATATATAAATAAATAAACAAACACATAACAATGGCAACTGCCAAGCAAGCAGAATAATAATTAGTATCTTTTAATTACCTGTTTTCCATATGCCGACAAAAGCTGCTCCATCCTTTCACCGACCCGTCCAGTTTTCCTCTTTTTGTAAAGTCCAGTCAGCTGAGGAGCATAATCATCCAGCGCAGCATAAAACACATGTGGCAGATTCTGATTGGTGATCCGATGAAATTCAAAGTAGAGCTGAAGAGAATTCCAAAAATATTATAAGCAAAACACAGCATACTATATGAGCAGCAAATGTTATATACATAGTTGTACTTACCTGTGTCTCATGAAAGAGTGCTGGCCATGGTCCCTCGCCTGGCAAAATTTGAGGTTATTGGATGAGGGCGATTAACTTTGTCAGAATGTTGGTATGGAAAGTGCAGAATTACTCTGTTTAAGTCTTCTAAGTTAAAATATCTCTTAGAAATCAAACCTTTAAACAATGTGCCAACTCCACTGAAATGACACCTTCAAACAGGTCGTGTAGGAAGTCAGGTGGGAAGCCTGTGACAGGATGAAAGAAAGAGAGATGGTCAGAAGGAACACAGGTGTTTTTAACACCATAGTTTTCCTTAATGTCATCATTCTGAAGCTCTTGCACAATAATTATCATGAGCATCTTTTGTTCTCATTACATAATTCCCTGTAACAGCATTTTCTGTTTGCATTTCTGTTTGGGTGGCATGACAAAACCTACAGAAATATGTAGACCTGAAACTCTCATTGAAACCAGCAAGTCCATGGGCAGCAAGGTTGTCTGCCACAACAGAGTAGACAGTGCCTTTAAGACATTCACCAAGAGTCTCAATGTAGACACCTACTTCTTCAAGAGTTTTCAGATCATTTAAGAGTGGTGACAGCATTTCCTTACACCCAAACTGGCGTACATCATTGGAATTGCACATCAGAGCAAGCTGGGTGCAGTGTAGAGCAGAACAAGATTTAACTGGAAAGTTTTCCAGTGTCCAATAAACTGCAAAGACTTTATGTATTTTCTTTGAGGTACCAAGTGGGTTTGTGATCAAAATCATCCACATAAAGTATCATTGACAATTTCTGTCCTTCTTGTGACAGTAGAACATTTTCCTGGTAGTAGGATCCATCACAAAATGACATGAAATGTCCAGGAATCTGTGTGGGTGCTTGTTTAATTTCTTCAAGCACATCATTTTTTTTCAACAACAATTGCAAAGATGTGAGAATAGGCACATACATATAAGTGTGCTTTGACGATTCAATTAAATACTCCACAGGTTTGACATATGGAAAATTTTCTTCATAATATGATTTCCTCCTCTTTGCTGTAGATAGTGGTCCTTCAGATGTGACACATTTATGTAAAACATTACTATCAGAAACTGCCTGACAAATCTCATCCACCAGTTTGTCCGTATATGTACAGTTGTGCTTTTTCAGTATATCTACAACTGATTTTCTAACCAAAGGTTGTGATAACAAAAACAACTGATCAATATGCTCAATAATCTCCTGTGTTGCTCTCTGGGACACATGGAGAAGGGTCTGCATTTTCAAGAAAAATCCAGCCAGATTGTATTGCAACTGCTCTTCTAAACCCTCAATTCCACTGATTTCACTGGTGGATGCCACTTGATTGTCATCTGATGACTCTATTGAATCAAGCTGCATGTCATCTTTTTGTTCTACATTTATAACACTTTGCACAATGCCTTCATCGTAACTTGTTGAATTTTGGTGGTCTCTGCATTTGTGGGCATTGAAGGTTGAGTAGACATTGGTTTTAAAATTGCAGTTCTTGAAAGGACATGGAACAGTTTCTTTTCGTTTTAAATGCCCCCTCAGATGGATAAACATTTGGCTTTCAATAAATGGCTTTTTAAAATTACACATAGAGCAACAAAATCCATAATTATTCAAATTTGGATAAGAACCGTCTTTTCTTTGCGTGGGAGTGTGCATTGTTGACATGTGTATCTTTAATGAATTAAATGTATTAAATGTACACATGCATGTGTTGTAGAGACAGGGTAAGGGTGAAATTGTGGAGTACTGACCATGGTTGAGCCGATAATGCTTCAACAACATGACTTTTATGGCAGTAGAAAAACTAGACAAACTACACAACTTGCAATTCCACATTTTGATACCAAATCGTTTTAAAATCACCTTTACTGGTTGTCTTTAGTGCAGTGCTGGATGATCTCTCGGCATGCTACTGCTCCTTCAATCCTCAGACTGTAATAACACAAAAGCCATGAGGACAGAAAGCTAGCAGAACAGTTTTTACTTTTACTTCACTTAAAAACAGTCAATCTGAATAACACAAGCTTGGAAAACAGTAAGATTTATTCTTGCACTACAGTTCATTTTCAATTCAGGTTGGTCAACTACTCTATACGTTATAAAATAATAAAGCAATTTTACACAAGTGAAGTACACAATAGGCTAACCCTTGGAAAGTACAGAGTCAGAAACGTTTAGGTTTGGTGCAGTGCAGCTTTGAAAAGGTAAATTATTTCGCGACTAAAATGCCACTAACCATCATATTCAAAATTTGTGAAGGCGAACTTGTCCGTTAAACTCTTAAAATTAACACTAAATAAATTTTCTACTATTTTCACTGTGTCAAAAGTAGGCTACATTTGAACTTGATAAAGGTCAGAGTCAGAAAAGCGTAAACACTGATTTTACCAAAGGTTTTGTGGCATGCAGTTTGCAAAAATCAGACTACTTACCAACTATTGATTGAAACAAGCCACCAACCGTTAATTTTTTAAATTGTGAAGGCAGACTCCATACAGCGCTAGGCGGGAATTGTGTGCTGGCAAGCTAAGTTACGAGCTACTACAACAAAGTAGTCTGATAAATTACAACGAAGTACAACTAAAACAAAGCAGTCTGATAAATGTACGTTTTGTATGCTAGAAGTAAGCATTAACAAAAAAACATAAAAATAACTTTATCTTGTACTTTCCACTCTCTTGACGAGGCTCCTGTCTCATGGCCGACAAGTCCAGGCAAAACACTGGGGGCGGGGCTGTGGATGATGACTAATACAAATGAATTAGCACAACTTAAACAGTTTAAAGCAACAGTACTTAAAACGTTACAAAAACATCATGTGTACTTATTACAATAAAGTTATTATATCATATGTATACTTTTGGGTCTACCTAACACACTTCATGAAAGTTACTTTAACTATTTTTCAGAACTGAGTAAGAACAACTTACTTCTTTTAGTAAGATGCACTGTTGGGTTTTACAGTGCACTAGCAAAGTTAACTAATGTTAAACGACTAAACAAAAATGCGAATATTTAAGTGTCTTACTCTCTTAGTTAAGACTGGACTAACAACATTTTGGTCCTTCTTTTTTCACTCCCAGATGGATAGCTCCTTTTAATTTTCATGTTGTGGCTTTTGCTGTTGTCATAAGGTTTGTTTGCTTGCTCACCATGTGCAAGGGGAATCAGGAGGGGCACTTCCTCACACACACACACACACACATGCAAAACCTGGCCTGTGGCCCTGAAGCAGTTGCCACCTTTGCTTGATGGTAAGCGGCGCCTCTGGGAATAATATATACTGTTGAGGTTGACTGGATAACTGAACACGGGTCTGACAATAGAATTGTAGTAAACAGACCAATGGCTGCAAATGCAAGCAAGCGAAGTGTAAAATAAAACAGAATAACACAGGAAATGACTAAAACAGCACAGGCAGGACTAACGCAAGGATGGAAAACTACTAACGTAAGTAAAACTGGCTGCGATAGGCAATAAACAACGGTTACCAAATATAAACAGCGAGTATATGACATGAGCAAAGACATGAGATTTATAATATAGCAACCTGCAATAGCATGGAAAAACGTATATTGAACAAGTATTTTCCCTGCCTACACATAGTGTTTCATGAACACACAGGAGGGAGGAACCAAACACGGGCAAGAGGTAAGCACCTGAAAAGCCAAATAACATGAAAACCAAATGAAATCAGAGAAGGCAGAGGATGAAAACAACACTAAAAACTACCTAAACTAATGAATAGCATGGGGACAAACCAGGGAGTAAAAGATTTTTGGTACTAATGTGAAAGAGCTGTGTGGCGAGATAGTGTTGTGAACATGAGGATGAATGGTTGTCTGTCCCTGTATTAGTCCTGTGATAGATTGATGACATATCTAGGGTGTACGTTGCCTCTTGCCTCTCTGCGACCCTGAATTGAATCAGCAGAAGAGGATTAATGGATGGTTATTGAAGAGCTTTTTTTTAAAAAACAAAAGACAAGATGTCACAGCACATAAAATATCGTCTCTCTGCCTCTTGTTTTGTTAGTGTGCTGGTTCTGCTCAACTTTTGTTTTGTTTGAGTGCAACAGAACACACAATAAATCCAATGCATCATCAAATTCCTGCTTCCCTCATGCCCAAATCAATTTAGATAATCTGCTAGGATGCCACTGATGTGGCACCAGTGACAAGTGCTAATATGCTCTGAAACATCACTGCACCTTCAAAGTCTATTAGATTAGGGCTTTGGATATTTATTAATATCAATTTTCATTCATGTATTATTCAGAATTTCTCAACTGACAAAGATTAGTTAGACTAGACAATGCTGAGGCCACCTGAGACGGGACACAGATGCTGATCCTGACACCAAATCTGCTTATTTAAACAAAAACTTTGGCTTACAAGAGAGAACAAGTAAAGCTGGAAGACAGGGAATAGAAAGGGGCTGCGTGCCACATGGAAAAGGGAAGTCAGAAGAAAGAGAGAAAGAAAGGGAGGAAGGAAGAAAAGCCAAGTATTGAGTAGATTTGAAGGTAAGACAGGGTATTGTAAATCCACCACAAACTCTCACAATCTCTTGGGGAACTGATCATCTCACAGTCACTTGCCACACTGTTGTCCACGGAGAACTGCTGAGTGTGCTTTTTCAAAGTCAGCAGGGCCAGCTGTCTCTTTGGCCACTGCTGATGAGATCAACAGCGAGTTTAAAAGGTATTGGGAAAGCTGGAAACCACTGGGCAAGTAATGAAAGCACGAGATTATAGATAATACCTCTCCCTCTTGCCAACTCGTATGGACTACACAGTTTGATTCAGTTCAGCCTAATCACATCATGAAGGCTTTTATGTTACATTTCATGACAGTATTATTTGCCGTTCTTTGTCTCTGAGCCAAAAGCAGTGTAAACATTGACATAGCCTCAGATTAAAACCTTTGTGCGATGTGAGGAGACTGCAGAGAGATGTAGATGAAACATTTTTTGGGGATCCACTATGTTAATTGCACCGTGAAGTTGAAACACTGACATACAAACAACTATAGTTCAGTAGCTGAAGAAGGGATTCTGGGAGTGACTTTGTATTGATTGATGCCTTCATAACGCGTGTTAAATATTTTAGCAGGTGAGGTGATTAGGTGATTCCTTGACCCTTTTTTGGCCTGCTACCAAAAAAAAAAAAAATAATAATATATATATATATATATATATATATATATATATATATATATATATATATATATATCAGTGTTGTATTTCTTCTCCTCTAGCAACTATCACCATGGTCTGGTCTGTGACCAAATGTAGCATTACTATCAGCTTTGACTGAAAAGCTTTTTAGTTTAGGATGTTAGAATGCCAAATTTTGTAAACTGCCTCTAAAACAGAGTAGTTTATGCACTTGAGTGATGAACTGAAGAATTATAACTGATGATCAGAAATAAAAGTTTTAATTTTGTTGCTTGATTTAGAGAAAAACTGCATTGATATTATGCATGTGCTATAACCATCATCATCACATCACATAAAATGTTAAACAAAAGACCACAATGAAGTGCTACAGATTGTTACTACTACTAAAAATATCCCCAATTTGCCTATCCCCACTAATTACATGTCTTTTGATTAAAGGTTTCTAGACAGGCTTTGGACCATGGACTCTGGAGTACCCGCAGACAACCCAGGCAAACATGCAGAGAACCCAGCAAGATGGAGGAGTTAAATTCAGGACCTTCTTGCTGTGAGATAACATTGCTAACCACAGCACCAACTGTGCTGCCCCATACCCGCTGTGCCACCATGCTGTCGCTAATATTAGACAAAGACAAGACAAATACATTTTAAAGTGCAGTTAATAAATGATAATTCCATTTATTAAATAAAAAAAGATAGTTAAACCTACCTGGCTCTAGATGTGAAAAAAAATTGCCTTTCACAGAAAGAGCAGATTTCACGGTTCCATCAGTTATAACGAACAGTCCAGATCCTGAAGCTGAAATGCACTGCTGCTTTTTGGTCAGCAGTGGTTTTTCTTCTTGAAACTCTCCCATGGATGCCATTTTTTTGTCTCTTTATTATTGCTGAATCATGAACTATGACCTTAACTGAGACAAGTGAGGCCTGCGGTTCTTTAAATTTTGATCTGAGTTGTACGGTGACCTACTTGATAAGTCTGCCATTAATCAGGAGGACATGGTGCATCTAATGAAACTGAACTCTCACAAGTCATTGAGAGATTTAAAAGTGAGGAGCAGAAACTTGCATTGACTGGTTTGGTGAATGGGGAACTCTTGAAGGTGTAACATAATCGGCGGACTTGGTATGGGTGATGATTATTACTCAGAGTTACTGTATATACCAGTTAGAACAGCTACATGTGGCTTGTCTAGATAAGGAGATGTTGTAGATCATAATCAATATTAAAGTCAATTTGCAATTGACAAATATCAGATCCACCTTCTTCTCATGGTTGGTTTTCATATTGAGTTCATATCAGAATTCATACTGAACCTTCATAATGGGACTGAAAGCACCACTGCTGTTAAACAGAAAAAAAGGTGACCTAATATTAAAAACAGTCTGAAAAAAACCCCCTTTAATATATATAATAATGGATTGGATTTATATAGCGCTTTTCAAGGCACCCAAAGCGCTTTACAATGCCACTATTCATTCACTCTCGCATTCATACACTGGTGGAGGCAAGCTACGGTTGTAGCCACAGCTGCCCTGGGGCAGACTGACAGAAGCGAGGCTGCCATTTCGTGCCATCGGCCCCTCTGGCCAACACCAGTAGGCAAGTAGGGTAAAGTGTCTTGCCCAAGGACACAACGACCAGGACAGAGAGCCCAGGGATCGAACCGGCGACCTTCCGGTTACAGATACGCTTCCCAACCCCCTGAGCAACGGTCGCCTCATATATTAGTGCTGCACCTCCT